TCAAAGTCCCTGGTGGGGCGTGGAAGGGGTCTCTGGAGAGACTGGGGCTCCCTCACTCATTTGGTCTGCATCATTACCGACTGCCTGTGTTCTTGTTGTTCCAGCGTGGTTTTTACTGTGCTCCTTTCACTCTCAGAACTGTCCTGGCTTGAGTAATAAATAATACGGTCTCCTCACCCTCGGGCCTCGGTGTCCAGTGAGGGATGTGGGGAGCTGAGCTGGTAATTGTGGCATCAAAGAGCCATTGGCACTGGCTTCTCCTTTGCCCTGCAGTCTGCCCGCTGCTCCATCACTCCCCGGACCCTGCTCTCACTAAGCGCAGGGATCTCCACGCAGCAGCAGGACCTAGAGGCTGGGGGTAGGGCTGGCGGGGACCTGCTGGTAAGGTGCCACATGGCAGAAAGAGCCCGATGGTGCCCAGGGTCAGGGGTGGTCCCCAAAGAGGCAGACCAAGTCCAAGGTGAGGGCAGCATGTCGAGGTGGGCGGGCCAGTGCTGCGGTGAATTTCCGGGATTGAGAGACGGGAGAGGGCGGAGGGAGAGAGAGGCAGGCCTGCGACTTGGGGGGTGTGCGCGTGTCCAGGGGGCCTTCCCCTGGACGGCTGGGCGAGCTCGCCAGCTTGCTCTCCTCACTCCCGTCCGGGCACAGGCCCGAGCTTCCTTCTCCTTCCCCCACCATCACTCTCTAGGTGAGAGGGCCCGCCTTCATCTTGGGGGTTTGCGGGCATCCAAGGCTGTCGAAGTGGGGGTTAGTCCTGAGAAGAGTCATACGAGAGTCAAGGAACAGGACCGGAGGGGACGTCCTCTTTCTGAACAGAGGCCGCACTGGCTGTGTCCGTGAGCCAAGCTCCCAGGAAGTCTGCTGTCCACTCAGATCGGACAAGGAGACCTCGTGGAGCTGACTTCACTCCCCGGGGCTCCCGGGGATGCACTAGAAGGGGCTCATGGTGCAGGCGGAGGGCCCCTTGGAGGCTGTTCTGCTAATGTCTCCGTAGCGGCATTCATTCTGTCCTGACACCCACACCTCCTCCTCCCCTTACCCCTACGGCCCTGCGCAGACAGCTGCACCTCGTTTCCAGGTTGAGGGGGAGAGAAACCAGCCCTGCTGGATCACACGTCCTTCCAAACCTTCTCATCGAGCACCTATACTGAGGCTTTTGAAATCCCTGAGGACTTGTTTTCTCAGCCTTCGGTGACAGCTGTGCCCTGAGGCCATGAAGGTCTTATATCTAGTTACCCAAATGCAGGAGGGTCAGGGGAACAGGGAGAGCCGAGGGCGGGCGTTCCTATTAATATCAACAATTATTCCACCACCAGTTGCCCTGGGCTACCCCACGGGTCACCAGAAGCTGCGTCCCGGCCCCCTGGCACATTCTAGACCCCACCTGGGGGGGGGGGCCTGGGCCCATCCACTGCCTCTGGGCTGGACGCGGGTGACTGGACTAGACAAGGCTGGCGGGGGTAGGGGGAGATGGAGTTAACTGCACCTGAAGTGAGAAGGTCTGCCATTAAATGCCACTTCCGATTCAGGCCACTTTGCTTTAAAAGACACACTGAGAAAGGGGCAGAAGCCAAACAAGAGTGATGCTAATGGCTCCAGTGGTCTGAGATGAGACCTCTGCAGGGAGGGGAGTAATTGGGGCCACCTGGTGCCAGGAGGGCAGGGTTGGGGTGCCGCTCGGTAACTGCTGAGCTCCTGAAATGTTCCTCATGAGAAGGTGCCAACAGCTCATCCCCTTGTCCTCTGAGGGCAGAGCAAGAAATTAGCTTAAATTGGAGCTGGAAAGATTTAGGTTATGTGTAAGGAGGGACTTTTTAAACCCTGAAATATGCTACCCAGAGAGGCTGCGGGATCTCGGGAGAGTGTCTAAAAATAGCCTATTCTTTAAAAATAGATCCGGGCGAGCTTTAAACCTGGCCCCAGCTCAGCTTCTGGGGGATGGTTCTAAGTGCAGACAGACCCGGCCGAGTGGGGCCCTCCCTAGGCCGGAGGGCACAAGGGACAGCCAGCCTTTGGTCTCTGCTGGGGAAAACATCGGGGGATTTCAGATATGCATAGATAAAGGGGTTTATTTTTCCTTCTGCCCCAGTTGATTGGTGCCCTGAAATGCCAGCCTTTAGGATTTCAAAGTTTTCTTTCGGTGGGAGGAGATTTCAGGGCCAATGTTAACTGGGTCAGTCCCACCGGCCCCCCCAGCCATTCCCTGTTGCTGACTCGGGGCTTCCCGGTGCCCATGGGTTTTTATCCATCTCCCATCTCAGCAGTGCCGGGCATTCTGTGCCCCCACCCCCACCTGCCCACCGGGCCCCCAGCCTCAGCACCCTCGGCCTGGCACCCTCCACTCTGCCCCTCCCGGCCTCCCCGCTCCTACCTTTTTCATTCTCTACCTGCAGCCGAAGGTCTTTCACCCCCTCGCTGGCAATTATGCAGTTCCTGCCCAGTGCCCTCTGGGCAGAGCCCGGACTCCTGGAGGAGGCCTCAGAACTTGTGTGGCGTCTTGTTTGGCCCCCCTGCGGCAGCTGTCCCCACCCACGTGTCCTACCCAATAGCCCCGCCAAACTGCTCTGCCTGTGGCCTCAGCCGCAGCTGCTTTCACCTCGCTGCTCCCTCTGACCCTCAGCTCTCACTCCGGGTGCCACCCCCTCCAGGCGCCTGCCCTGACCTTCCACCTAGGCCTGGCCCAGAGGCCCAGCTGGGCTCCCCACGGCCCCCGGGTTTCCCTTCCGGGCTGCCCGCCACACGGAAGCCCCAGTTTGTCCGTCTCTCCCATCCCACCCCGGTGAAGGTTTGTTGCCCTTTGCTATCGTCCTGCCCTATCTTCTCAGCTCAGCTTTCCCCAGGCCCTGACCAGCACCCCCCTCCCCTGTGGGTTATATCCCGGGCACGACGCACCTGGGACGCTGGCAAATCCAGACCGTGCCCGCGTACAGAGGAATATTTGTTTAGACATGAGTGCTCTCTGGGTGTTCTGGGTAATAGCTTAGACAGCATGTTTAAAAATAAACTCTATTACAAATTAATTAATCAGCTGCCTCCCTGATATCTCAATTAAATGGAGTGTGCGTTAGCATAATACAGCCAAACCCTGCAAAAGAGAGACAGGCCAGGTGCAAGAGGAGTCCTGAATTCAGTGGTGCGCCTTTGCCCCACGCCCTGCCACAGTGGCATCTTTCTTAGAAGGGGTCCTCTGGGCCAGGAGCCGGCCAGTCCCTGCGCCGGGGAGGCCCTGGTGGTTGGCACTCCCGTGCGACCTTCAGACTCAGGAGGCCCGGTTGCGCATCCCCAGGCTGACTCCTCTCGCCACCGAACCCACTGCCGTGCTGCCTGGGCTCATTTTTAATCCGCGTGCACAGGGCTCCCACGCGTGCCACACTGCCGGAGGGCCACGCACATTCGAGGTTTGTCTGTGCTTTCCCACTCTCTGCAAAGACGACTTCACACCTTCTCCCCGCTCCTCCAACCCCTCCCCGCAACACCCACATCCCACATCTGCCGGCTGGCTCTCAGCGGGTGGCCGGCCTCCCTGGGGCCATGGAGGAAGCAGGGCAGGAAGCAGAGCTGCCCCGGTGTCCGCTCTGCAGCACAAGCTCGCCTCCCCCGTTCCCTTGAGAGTTGTGCCAGCGCCCATCAAAGCCAGCCCCTTTGTCCCTCCGGAGCCTCCACGCCCTCCTGGCCTCCTTTCTCCCTTGCTTCTGTGGTCCCCTCTGGCCCCTGTGGTCCCCTCTGGCCCCTCTGCTCCCCGGGCCGCTCCCGGCGTTCTCTGCCTCTCCTCTTCAGGACCCTCCCTGAAGTCCAGGTCCTCTCTCGCCGACCCTCTTTCTGCTTCTCCACCAGTAACATGCTTCAAAGCTTCCTCTTTAATAGTGGCTGTCGTGTCTCCTCTCCCTGTCAGCCTGTCCCAGCCAGGCATCTGTCCCCAGTGGCCTCCACGTTGCCAAATCCAACAGTCGTTTCTCTGCCTTCATCTCTGACCTGATGGGTTGCTCCTTCCTCCTGACAGGCGTCCTTGGAGGCTCCACCCGGCACCCTCTTCCCCAGACGTCCTCGCAGCTGCCTCCAGCTCCCTGTCTGAGCCTCTGCTTTAGTGCCGCCTCCTCAGAGAGGCCCTTTCTGTCTGGAGTGGCCCCTGGGGCTCTCTGGTGCTTTGCCCTATTTTATCGACCCCAGCACTTTTCCCCACCTGACATTTTCTTGTCAGGTTAAATGCTCGTTGTCTGCATCTCCCCACTGGCAACTGAGACCCTCGGGGGCAGGGGCACCTGTGTACCAGTTCCAGTCTCTCCCACCGACCCTGCGGTAAATGACCGATCACGCTGACAAGATCACGCTGGCCGCTCACTTCCACAAGTCGCTGCAGATACGGCCCTGGCCTCTCTCAGCCCCGTATCCCAGACCCCCGATCCTGGAACCCCAGCCAGCCTGACAACCCCAAGCACCTTGCAGTCCGCAGCCACCTAGTCACTGAATGAGCACACACTGACACCCACGGCGTGCCAGGCCCTGCGCCAGGAGCAGGGGCTCCGCGGAAAGCAGAACAGACCCTGTGTAGCAGGCCTGTGCGGTGAGTCGCAGGCACGCATCACCCGGTCACTTGTTCGTTCACTCACGGAGCACTGGCGTGTCAAGCGCTGTCTGAGAGTTCTACAAGTTCCTTACTCCGCACCCTACAGGCTGCAAGCCCATTTGCAGTGTCAGGAGGGAGGAGGTCCCGGAAACCACGGAGGAGCGAGCACAGCTGTGGCTCGGTGTGGGTCCACGCGGGGAAGCCTGGGTGTCAGGAGAGCCTCGTTCGTTTAGTTTCCCCTAATTTAGGAGGTTCCATAAGTCATCAAAAAGCCACTGTTAAAAATTCAGACGAGTTGAAAACAATACCTTCTGCTGAGGGTGTGTACGGCAGGTGTCCCTGGTTGGGGACCTCGCTTGACAGAACGAACACCCTTCCAGAGACAGGGGCGAGGGGCAGGCTTTTTTGGCAGAATCTTAACAATGCAATGCACATATCTCACCAGTTGCAATTTTTATTTATTGAATTTTCTTAAAGCATGGCCTTTCAGATTTGGGAATAAATGGAATTCAGTTGAGAAATCAATGCTTTTCTAAACCAGCAATTCAGAAAATTAACTACTCTGCCAACAGGCCGGGGCTTGCTGCTGGGTCCGGCTGAGAGTCCTCGTGTTGTCCTCGAGTGGACGACACCGCTCTGTCCCCGTCCCGATGTAAGCAGTGGCCGTCCTGGTGGACGTTGCCTTCCTCGGTGGGTGCTCCCTGCAGTTGCCAGTGGCGGCGGCAGCCCCATCTCGCAGAGGAGGAAACGAAGGAACTGAGGGGCCAGAGGGCTCGGGGAGCGTCTGGACTGGCAGGATGAGGAGGAAACCAAAGACACAGCAACGACTGAGGTTTGGAGAGCGAGGCCCAGCCCTCAGGAGGGGCTGGTGGGGCTGAGGAAGGGGCAGGGTCCACCAGCTCCTGGGTAGGGCAGCAACTGCAGAGGGAGCGGGCACTGGCCAGGGAGGAGGAGAGACGCGGCCCTCCAGGCAAGACCCCTCGGCAAGTCCTCCGCACCGAACAGCGTGGCAGTGACACGGGACAGAGAGCGGCCCGCGGACGGAGTGACGGGTCTGGGAGGTGGACTCGTGCATGTGAGAGGCTTGGAACAGGACAGAAGTGTCACTTAAAATCAGTGGAGGAAGATTGGTTTATTTGATGAGGGTTCAAGGTGATTAGCCATGCATTCAAGAAAATTAAGTTAGACCTTTACCTCACACCAGTCGCTGAGATAAATTCCAGAGGAATTAAACAAACATCTATACGTACGTTAGAAAAATACAGGAGAGCCTGCTTATGGTGTTGGTTTTCATAAATTAGACACAGGAAGTGCAAACCAAAAGAGAAAAGACTGGTAGGTTTGATTGTATCACATATCAAAATGTATGACAATAGCGGCTTTATTCATACTTACCAAAAATTGGAAGCGACAAAGCTGTCCTTCCACAGGTGACGGGTGAGCGACCCTCAGCCCATCCGGGCAGTAGAATACTGCTCGGCGGTAACAGGCAGGAAAAACGCAGAGGAGGCCTGACTGCACGTCCGAAAAGGCCACGAACTGAATGAGTCCGACTCCGTGGCATCTGGAAAAGGAGAAACTGTGCAGACAGTGAAGAGATCGGAGGTGGCCAGGGGTTCGGTGGGGGCTGGGAGGGGGGCAGGCGGAGCGCAGGGGAATCCTAGGGCAGTGAAACTGTTCAGCCTGTCACTATGCGTTTGTCAAAACTCATGGAATGTGCAGCACAGCACGCACCTTAGTGCACACTGTAGATTTAGGTACTAACGATGTACTGATATTGGCTCATCGATTGTAACAAATGTGCCACACTAACCACGGGGCAGAGAGAGAGGGCAATGGGAGCGCTCTCTACTTTCTGCTCAATTTTTCTGTGAACTTAAAACTGCTCTAAAAAATCAGGTCTGTTAATTTTTTAAAAGGAGATGTTCTGTACGTGGGGAAAGACAAGTGGCAAAATCTACTGGTGGTCCGTGCAACACACAGGACTGTAGAAAAGACTAAAAGGTACAGAAAGCACTCCTACCCATTGATAAAAAAAGACTAAAAAACTAAGAAAGTTGACAAAGGATACAGACACACGTATTTATAGAAGAAAAATTAGAAATGATTAATAAGCATGTGAAAAATGCCCAGACTCACTAATAACAAGGAAGACAGGAAACTTAAGACAATGCCGAGGCCTCATGCTTTCCCACGTGGCGGACAGAGTCACGGGGCTCTGTGAGCCGGAGCACCGGTGAGGACGAGCGAGAGGCCTGTGGAAGGTGCTCCGTGCAGCAGCATCGCCTGTAGAGCAAGAAACTGAAGTCGCTTCAATGCCATGGACAGATGCAGTAAATCTTGGAACATCACTATCAAGGATCCCATGCAGAAGTTCCAAAGAATAAGGTGTATTTGTTGGCAAGTTCACCAAAAAATTGTGTCAAGTACCTAAAAATAAGCTGTTGGTGCGGCTCATGCCCTCATCCCCTCCCTCCAGCAGAGCCAGGGCAGAGGGGACCAGAGAGGCTCCCGGCACACCGGGAGGCCCCGCCCAGGAGGGGGCGTGGCCATCCTCAGAGCCTGGCGGAGACAGCCCGGGGGTGCCGAGCCTTTACGGGGCTCCCGTGGTTGGCCTGGGCCTGGACTTCCTGACTGAAGTGGCCCCCGCAGCCCTAGAAAGTAGCCCTCATCTGAGGTCAGAGAGCTGTGGGCTGTGTCCACGAGAGGCCGTCCCTGGCCCAGAAACACAGACACTTTTGAGTCCTTTTGAGGACTTCATGTGTCACTTTTGAGTCCTCTGTCTCCATCAGGCCTGAGGTCGTGTGCTGGCGCCTCTGAGGTGAGCTCAGTGATCAGGGCCACGCGCTTCCGGGCGTCGGTATGAAGATTAAAAGAGAGCGTGATGGAGGTCACAGCCTGGCAGAGTGCTTGGAGCACAGTAGGTGCATAAGCATTACCGGTTTCCTTTCTCCCTTTCGTCACCTGCTCTTTCCCTCCTCATCAATACGTTATCCCTCCAGTTTTCTTCTTAAAAATATTTTATTTATTTATTTTCAAAGAGAGGGGCAGGGAGGGAGAAAGAGAGGGAGAGGAACATCAGTGTGCAAGAGACATGTTGATCGGTTGGCTCCTCTCCTCTCGCTCGCCCCCAACCAGGGACCTGTCTCAAAACCCAGGCATGTGCCCCTGCTGGGAATCGAACTGAGGACCTTTTGGTTCACAGACCAGCGCTCAATCCACCTTCAAGTTCAATCCGCACCAGTTAGCCACACACTGAGGTACCCAGGAGAGCTCTAGAAGCCACAGTCCCAGCAGAGAAGTGTCCCAGGCTTACAATAACCCTGGTTGCTGTTGTGATGGCGTGTCCAGTGGGCGCCAGACGCCGAGGCTGCCATCACATCCAACCTCCCCCTTAGCTGTCGCAGCCCTCGTCTCAGGACTGGGGGGCTTGAGGCTCAGGGAGTGAAGTGCCTGCCAGGACTCCACAGTGAGACGTGCTGGAGGAGGGCTCTCGCCCAGACCCCCTGGAAGCGAAGCTCTTCCAGCCAGTGGGCTCAGAGATGTTTGACCATGAGCCGCAGAAAAACAGTTCATATTACAATCGACATGCACACACAAAACCATACTTACTGCTGCTGCATTCGATGGCGGTGGGTGTTTCTATTCCGTTCACTTATTTTTGTAGTGCTGGTTGCAAACCAGGAAGCTGCTTTCCTGATCCACTCATCTCGTGAGTTAAGGCCTGACGATTGAAAAACACTCTCTAGGCTCCCTCTCCCAAACGACCTTCTAACATGGGTATGGGCATGCGGCGGCCCACGGGCTCAGCCAGCCCGGTGCTGACACCCACGCACCGTCCACGGCTCCCCTGTGCAGCAGAAGTGGGGTGGAACAGTCGCAACAGGATCTAGAGGCCCCCTGAGCCTAACACCGTTACCTACCTGATTCTTAACAGGAAAACCTAGCCACCCACATACAGAGCTGACTCTGCCTCCACTGCGTACATTTTCCCAGGGCTGCCCTTTGCCCTCTGGCTCAGACCCAAGCTCTTTGGCCAGCCTGGAAAACAGCCCCTCTGGCTTCCTGTGCTCTGGTCCTGCTGACCATTCTTCCAGGGGGGTCTGCGCTCTCCCCCAGCACTGACAGGCCCATGGGGGTGCACAGAGCCCCGCCGTGCTTCCTGATGCCTTCTCTGCCCCCACAGGCCTCCTGGGAATGGTAGCCCACATGATGTACACGCAGGTGTTCCAGGTCACCGTGAGCCTCGGCCCTGAAGACTGGAGGCCCCATTCCTGGGACTACGGGTGGTCCTTCTGGTGAGTGGCTTTTGATCTTCAGACACAAGGTCCCCAAGATGGGCTGGGACTTCAGTGACTTAGCCTCCTTGAGGGCCAGAGGAAGGCGGGGGTAGCCCAGGGTGGGCAAACTATCTCGCACGGACCATACCCAGACCACCACCTGTTTTAATCGGCCCTCAGGCTAAGAATGAATTTTACATTTTCTAATTCTAGGTTGTAAATCCAAAGAAGAATATTCTGTGAAATATGAAATATGTGAAATTCAAATTCAGTGTCCATAAATAAAGTTTTATTGGGACACAGCCACGCTCATTATTTATGTATTGTCTATGGCTGCTTTCACGCTCCAGCGACCGAGTTGAGCAGTGTGACAGAGGCTGAATGGCCCACAAAGCCTGAAATATTTATTACCTGGCCCTTTACAGAGGTTTGCTAACCCCTGTCTTCTAGGCTGCTGTGAAGGCGGAGATGGAAGCTGGCAGGATCTGAAGGTGGGCGAGCCTCGGAGGGTCCTGGGTGGTCAGATGGGTTAGGAGGACCCCGTGAGGGGCCCTGAACATGGGGAAGAGGAGTCGCCCTCAGAGCATGGTGTGCAAAGGGCAGACTCAGTCAGGACTCTTTTGCTTGTAAGGGATAGAATCCCAACTTAAGTAGACAAGGGTCTGTATTAGTTTACTTAAGCGAAAAGTCCAGGGGGATCAGCTAGGGGACCTGGGTTGTGATAGGAAAAGTGCCCACCTGCACTAGTCTGAGTAAATGAAAATGCACAAGTGCCTGAAAGTGGAAGTGCAGCTGTGGTAGGGACTTCAGGGTGTGTGTGATCCAGGGGTGCTGACATCATTAGGGCTGAGTTCTCCTCATCTGAGGTCACCGGGGCGTTGCCCCTCCCATTGTAACTGTACCTCCGGCCGGCTTCCCTCCCCAGGATGCTGCGTCTTCCTTCACATACAAGCAAAGACAGGGCTTCTCTTTCCCCAGCGTTAACTGGAATCCCCAGACTCCCTCTGAAGATCCTGACTTTAGTCATTTTCTCTCTCTTGACCAGTCACCATGACTGAGGGGTGCCCTGAGTTTACTGGCTTGGCTTGACCATGACGGGGTCAAAGGCTCTCAGGTGGTAGCTGGGGGACGGATGCTGGGCAAGCTCGGTCCAGGCGCCTCATTAGGAGCTCAGCCGCCCTCCCCCCACTTTCCGTCTCTGGTGCCTTTGTGTCGGTTTCATGCACAAGCGCTTTCTCCCAACCGACAGCAGAGATGGTCACCATTCTCAGCTCTGGGCCTCACACAAATGTAGCAACCGCAGCACAGAGATGGCATTTCTTTCCAATACTTCCAGTCAAAACCCCAGTTATGACTTTCACTGGCTTAGCTTTAGTCATGTGACCATCCTTCAACCAATGATTTACACCCTGAGGAGACTGGATTGCTCAAATGGACCTGACCCGAGTCACATGGTATTGGTCCCACCCAAGCCCTTGGACAGAGAGAGGAGGAGGAGAGGTCCCCCCGGTGGAAAATTGGGGGGTCGGGTGGGAGCAGAGCGGGCTGTTATCAGAAGAAATGTGTGCTGGGAAGATGACCACAGCTGCCCCTTACAGAGGGAATATTCGTCTGCTTCTGGTGGCCGGGGCCATTCATCTGCTCAGTCAGTTCACACAGCTGCTGAGCACTGGCTTGGGGCCAGACACTCTCCTGGTGTGGGGTAGGGGGCGGGGCTACAGCGGTGTCTAGACGGCCCTGTAACGGGACCGAGGGATTGGGACCACGCTTTGTGCATGATATGTGTGTGGCTGCGGGGAGCCACCGCACACAACTGTGGGAACACAGAGAAGGGGTTGCTGCCTCAGCTGTGGCAGGGGGCGTTTCGGGGAAGCATGTGCTCAGAGGAGGAAGAGGAGGAGGAGGATAGTGTGCTGGACGGAAACAGCAGAGGGAAAGACTTGGCGGTGAGAGAGCATCTTTGGGGAAAGGTGGTCAGAAGGGGCCGGGAAGGGCCGGGAAGAGCCGTGACTGAGAAAGACCCCAAAGCAGACCAGCGGGGGCTCCTGCCACGTTCCACCCCTGCCCCCCCACCCCGCCCCCTAGCAGGCTCTGCCCCCTCACAGCATGCGCCTTAAAGGGACCCTGACCCACCAACACCATCCCTGATTCCCTCTAAGTAGAACCCGTTGCAGGGAAACCAGCGAAGGCTCTGACTCCCTTTTGCCCACCCCTTCTTTCCCCGCCAGTGGTGCCTTCCCGAGATCTCCACCTTGGAAGGTAGTGGCCCTGAGAGCTGCGGGAGGAGAGGAAGGAAGGAAACAAGCATTTCTGAGTGTTGACCGTGTGTGTTCGTTTCTTACACGTATTCCGCTATCACAACTGCGCTGTGAGGTGGGCACCTCGTGGGGTAACTGAGGCGCAGAGAGCTCACAGAACGAGCCCAGGTAACCCAGCTGTGAGTGGCAGAGCCGGGAGTTGAACCGGAGCAGTCGGCTCCAGAGCCCGCGCTTTTGGCCTCCACACTCCGCTTTGGGGGGTGACGGAAAATAGTAAGACGGCCGTGTGTGCTTGGCACGCTGTCGGGCACCTGCAGGTGCTCAGGGGATGCCAGCTCTTCTCACAGTGCCGCCATTGATACGAAATGATTCACGGGTCACGACCCCGTGTCGCGTACGTGGAAACCGAGGGTCAGAAGGGTCGGGTCGCTGGCCCGGGACTCCGAACCCCTTCCTCCCAGAGGCCTCTCTCCCCCCAGGCCCCCGGCTCTGCGCCCCGCTACTCGGAGCCTAGAACCGAGCCTGCTGGTGTCGGCCACGGCAGCCTTCTCCCCTGGAGGCCGAGTCTGCCGCCCTGCTCCCCTGCTCCCTCGGGGTGGCCTCCCAGGGGGCAGCGAATTCCCATTGACTTACTTAAGACCGAGGCCCAATGTGTAGCCCCTATTAGGGCTGATCCATTTCTCCTTGTCACTGAGGCGCACAAGATAGATCAGCCCCATTTTTCATTCCTCGCACCTGGGGCCTCGCCAGGGTTGTGCAGTGTCATCTCTCTTGTTTAATATGTGTGAGGCCATTTGTCAAAATTCTGGCCCCAGAGCCCCGGGCACCAGAGAGGAGGCCAGCTCCAAGGCAAGACAGCACCAGCCTGTGTCTCCCAGCCGGGAAGAACCGACTGCGCGTGCGCAGGAGGCGGGGCGCCAGCTTCCCGGAGGGACAGCTGCGCAGGAAGGTGAACGAAGGTGACTGTTCCCTGGTTGGGAATCTGACCCAATCCAGTTAGGTCAGGTCGCCCACCCTCCCTGTGCCTCAGTGCCCCCAGCTGTAATGGGAGGACAGACGGAGTTTCCACCACACTTGTGGGTGGTGGTCCAGTTCTCTACTGGTGTGTAACATCACTCCAAAGTTTAGTGGGATGAAATAAAAGCTTACAATGATCTCTTACAGCTCAGTGGGTTGACAACACACAGCTAGTGGTCCTGGCTTGGGGCCTTCCACGACGCCTGAGTTGGATGCTGGCGCCGGCGGGCCCTGCATCCAGACGGCCCCTGGTGGCGCGGCTGGCGCGGGGCTCAGCGGGGGCCCTCAGCAGGAACGGCTTCTCCCAAGCACCGCCAGGGTCCCTGTGGGAGCAAGCCTTCCCAGAGATCCATGCGGAAGCTGCAAGTCTATTTTATAATCTTGCCTCAGGAGTCACACAGTGTCACTTCTGCTGTCTTCTCTTGCTCAAAAGCAAGTGGTGGGGCAGACTCGAGGAGAAGGGGCTGCGGCAAACGTCAGCCCCCATGGTGGCGGCTCACAGGGGCCTTTGGAGGCCGGCTGCCATGGAGACCTCGTGAATTATCGCCTGTGGCAGCCAGAGGGGAGGGTCTGCTCCATGACTGTTGCAGTTCAGGGCAAGCAACCCGGCCTCTTGGGGCCTCAGCTTCCTCATATCTTCAGCAGGGATCATAGTAGTGCAGGGTTAGTGGGGCTACGGCAGGACTGTGTGGGATCAAGCTCCTAAAGTGCTTGTGCACAGTAAGTGCTCGATAAGTGGCAGTGATTATAAATGGCGATAATGACACGGGGCTTAGGTAATGCCACTCTTGCCTGTTGAGAGGCTCATGACCCAAATGTCCAAGAGGACGACACCCAGTGTCATCACTGCTCCCCACCCCTGGCCTTGCTGCTCACGTTTGTTCCTAGAACTTTAATGTTTTACTAGGCTCCGGCCGAGGCTACAGTCGCCCCTCACGCCCCCACCCCCTCTTTTGGCCCCACCTAAGCTTTGGGACCCCACCCTCAGCCTGAGTCCCAGGCCCTCCGGCCCTCTGCCTGCTCCTTTTTCAGCTCTATGTCTCGGCTCTCTCCAGGTCTGCTTATGACAATGCCAAGGCAAGCCGCCTGGGGTGAGGGGTAAAACTAAGGTCTGTGCCACCTACTTTGTGCCAGGCCCAGTGGGAGGGCCTTTACAAAGTGTATAGTCCTGCCATTGACCCCCCGGGAGTCACCACTCCCACTAGTGGGACGAGCACACAGCCTCAGAAAGGGTAAAGGCCCAGGTCGCACAATTAGCCTCAGAGGCTGCAAATTGCAAGCAGCCCAGGGCTGAACCCAGTCTGCAGATGTTTTGCTTGGCCTGCCATAATGTTATTTAAAAGTTCACATTTGTTTTTAACATCTAAAAAGGTAAACATTTTGCATAAAGATTCAGGTCTCTGCCCTGGCTGGTGTGGCTCAGTGGACTCAGTGCCAGCCTGCGAACCTAAGGGTCCCTGGTTCAATTCTCAGTCAGGGCACATGCCTGGGTTGCAGGCCAGGTCCCCAGCATGGGTCACATGAAAGCCAACCACACATTAATGTTTCCCTCCCTCTCTTTCTCCTTCCCTTCCTCTCTCTCTAAAAATAAATAAATAAAATCTTTAAAACAAATACAGATTCAGGCCTCTGGCTTCTCTTGACCTTTAGAAGATATGTCCCTACCCAACTGGCATTGCCACCTGGCAGCAGGCAGGGACAGCTGAGTTTAGGTGGGGCTAGCTGAGTAGCAGTTGCCCATTC